TAAACGATGTGCAATACATAGTAGAGTTGCGTCGCTAAACTCTTCACGTATTGTTTTTTGAATCATACGGTCTGTCTCAAAATCTACACTAGCTGTTGCTTCATCCATAATAATTAACTTAGATTTACGAACCAATGCCCTCGCGAGTGCAATCTGCTGCCGTTGACCTTGACTATAATTGTTACCATTTTCACTAACGGGTTCGTCGAGAGTCCATGATATTTGGCTTTGTGGTTGTTCGTTCTGTGATAATTTGCTATCATTACTAGTGCCTGAATCTGTAGTTGCATCATCGATTAGATGAGCTCTTCGAAGTGCATTCCATAGTTCAGCATCATCATGTTCACCAAAAACATCCAGATTGCTCCTATACATTTATGTCAATTTAATTAATAAATCATAAATAAGCAATGGGAGACAATATATGATGTAGGTGTAATTAACAGCCTTTCTAAAATAAACGAATTATCAAAGAAAAAAATGTCACCTCAACGTTCCGCTGAATAACACCGGATCTTGAGGTATTATAGTAAGCCTGCACCTTAAATCGAAAAGACCAATAGTTGAAATATCTATACCATCAATAATTATTTGACCAGAAATTGGTTCCATAAATCTAAAAAAAGATGTAGCCAACGTGGATTTCCCAGACCCTAAGAATACAGTAAATCATTCATTTAATGGATTCCGAATTCATACAAATAATTTATACAATGTCAAGTTATATACTATTAAAATAAGAACCCGAACAATACATAGAAAGTTTATATTAGGTTAATATAATTTTTTTTACAAATTTTATCCAAAACCTGCTACTCTGGTTGGTTGAAACTTATTTTAACCAATTTGAATTGCAGGAAAGTGGATAATATAGTAACATAACCTTTAATTGCATTGTTCGGGTCCTATTTAAATATGTCAATGTGTAAGTTTACCAGTTCTACCAACAACTCCAATCTTTTCGGCAGGTTGAATGTGGAATGAAATATCTTTTAATACCGGGGGGTTATCAGGCGCATATTGCACAACGAGATTTTAACTTGAATATCTCCTCTTGAAGGCCACTCCTGTGGTGGGCGATGACCTTCAATAATTCTTGGTGGTTCTTCTTCCAATTCCAGATAATCTTGGATTCTCTCAACTAGAAAATTCAATAGAACAAGGAGTTAGAATATAAAAAAAAGTAAATCTAAAACAATAGAACTTACTTGAATTCATATTCAACTCCTGCATGGAATACAAACGAATAACCCAAATTACATTGTCGGTTAAACTTAAAGCATTTATCAATGCGAAACCTGCTAAACCTGGATCCATTCCCTTGGAAAGATTATATACAATAATAAAAGCAGTGGAAAGTCCAACTAGACCACCTACGAAATCAATACGAGCATGAAGCCATCGATTGCATGCCCAATTGAATATGTAAGGTCGATTATTATCATCTACGAGTCGCAACATTCTTTTCATCAATCTTTTTTCGGCACCAAATGCTCTGATAGTAGATACACCTATTATAGTCTTTATACATTAAAATATATGGATATAGGTAATAAGCAAGCTATACATTAAAATCTAAATCAAGAAAGTAAAGTATTTACTTCGCCAAATGCTGCATATATCGGAGACCTACTAACAGATTCTATGCCTAAATAATCATATGTAAATAAATTTATGTAATAAAGATAACTGAAAATAATGTATAAATGGCCAGATATCTTACGCTTTAAATCTCTGGATGTAGCTATATAATATGCTCCAATAACTATAAACATTGCTGAAATGAAAACACCAGCTATTAAGAATTGAGGCATTACAATTGAAATGACAATAATCACCGACACGATAGAAATGCACATAACA